CCTGCTTTTAGAGACCTCTATCCTGTCCCCTCTCCGTCTCCTCTTTTCTAAGCTGAACAGTCCCAGTCTCTGTAGCCTCTCTTCATCTGGGACCTGTTCCCAACCCCTGATCATGTTAGTTGCCCTCCCCTCTCCCAGCCTTTCTCTTCCCCTCTCCCACCTCCTTTTCCTAGTCTCCCCCAGTTTTGTTCAATAAAGACAGAGTCAATGTTGGAAGAAACGTTATCTTTATTTTGTACATCAATAAGAAGGGGGGCTAGGGAAGGGTAAGTGGAAGGAGGTGAGGGAGGAATGGGGTACGAGCCCCCGATGGGGAGGACTGGGCTGGCTCTGCGGGCTTCTGGGGGTGGAAGCTCTCCTGCAGCCCCCCGATTGCCCCCTCTCCCCAGATGGCAGCCTGCGGCAAGTGCAGCCGGGCTGATGGCCGAGTGCTGTGATGTGCCCAGTGTGGGTAGTCCGGGCACTCCAAGCCAGAACTTCTTTGCAAGCGGGGCACCCCTTAGAACTGTGTGTCCGGGGTGGGGGTCGGGACCCTTTAAGCGCAGCCCTCGGCTAGCCTGAGACAGCATCTCTACACAATAAGTCCTCCTCTGATGCCCTACCGGCACTGCTTCCGGCCATCCTTAAGCCCTGTTCAGAGTCCACTCAATGTGGACTTGCTAGTTCGAATTAGCAAAACGCTAATTCGAACTAGTTTTTAGTTCTAGACGCGTTAGTTCGAATTAGTGCTGTAGTGTAGACATACCCATGGTGGATTGGGACAGCTCTTTGTGGAAAGCTTCACTTATCCTATTTTCAGTATTATCTGCTGTGGGCAGGAGATGGCATCCCCCTTCTAGTGGTTAGAATCCATAGTAGCAGTTACAACCACTATTTAGTCTCTGGCAACAGTCCTGCCTAGTGGGCACAGTTCTTGGGTACAGTAGGAGAACCTCAGCCCTCCCATCCCACCAGCTCCCAACACAGGACTCTGAGATGCTGGTTTGGCTTTGCTCATCCTTCAGTGCATTTCATTAGCCTCTAGTCAGCTTTCCTGGATCACTTTCTCCCTTCCTTTGCACTCCAGATGGCTGCTATCTCCCTGAAGAGTGCTGCCTTCTGAACTCCCTGTCATAGTCCCAGTTTCTGATTTGTTGTAAGAACCAGGCACATCTTCCCTTTTAAATCCGATCTCTAACCCAAGTACAAGCTTAGGGGCATGACACCCTGAACCCAGAGTTGCTCCTTAATCCCCTTCCATCCAGTAACCCCATCACATACCCAGGGCTGGATTAAGGCATGGGCTAGCCGGGCAGCTGCCCGGGGCGCCAACCTATGGGGGGAGCCTGGCTCCCGGATCGCGGGCTGCAGCAGCTCCCAGCGGCCACGGCGCCAGCCAAACAGTGCCCGTCCCCCTGCGGCCGCAGGGCCCTGCAGGGCCAGGCTTGGCCCACCCTGGGAGGCCCCGGGCTGTGCACCAGCGGTGGTAGCCGGGCTGGGCCGGGCTGGGCACGTGCGTCCTGCTGCCACCAGCTCCACGTGCCCTTCCCATGCGCCAGGAGGAGGCGGGGCGGCGCATGTGCCCTCCCCCACTCGCCAGCCTGGGGGCAGGGCCGTGCATGCGTCCTTCCCCAACCCAGGGAGCAATTAAGCTGTCTGCCCGGGGCACCGGAATGGCTCGGTCCAACTCTGCCTCAGAATCAGGGCTGGGAAGTGATCCTGTGGTTCTTCCAACCTGTTTCCCTTTAGAAAAATAATCTGCATTTTTGTCATCCTCCCCTATGTAGTGAAGGATTTCAGAACTGTAGAGCTTCAGGGAGAGGCAACACTGCATAATCCTGCTGTCCCCATCCTACTTAGTAGCCAAAGTAGGTCTCCTCTTGCCTGACCAGCTGGCATTTGGTCAGTTTGGCTGTTATTCATGCCTCATGAAGGGCTTGTAATATAGCTGATATGTGCCTCAGGTGGTCTTTCCAGCTCCAGCTGTAGACATCATTGTTGTCGATGTATGTCATGGTGTGCAACCCATGTGGACAGAGCACTCAATCCATTAGATACTGAAACATGATTGTGGCCCTGTGTGGGACAAAGGGCATGATTTGAATTGGGGTAAAGAAGGCTGTTTTTTCCTAGACTCAGCTATCAAATTGATCTGCCAAATCCCCACTCTAGCACAATGAATGCAGAAGTGAGGGCCTGCAAAAGTACCCCAAAACCTTATCTTTCCAGGCTTTGGTAAAAAGCTTCCCCCCAAAATCTTAAAAACCTAGATTTTGGGGATACAAATGCACTGTCAATCTCCAAGCAATGATACCCTGGCAATGTTGGGCTTTTTGATTTAAAAAGCTGCAGTCTTCCTGGGCAACACAAGTCTTGTCCTTCCCCCATTGCCCTGTTCTAATCTAGCTATCTCAGTTGTCCCGAAGGCTAGAACAAAACAAACTGTTTGGGTAGGATGGTCTGCATCTGGCTTAAGGTTAACCTTCTGTCTGCCTCTGCCCAAGGCAGCAAAGAAAAGAAAAGAAAAGAAAAGAAAAGAAAAGAAAAGAAAAGAAAAGAACCCTGCAAAGCTTGCAACTCAAAAGAAAAACCTGTGTCCTTTTAAAATCCTGGGTTCTCATAATGATCCCACCACTATGCCACCATGTCAAGGCCAAATCCCCATCCTGACACGATGAACGCAGAAGTGGGGGCCCGCAAAAATACCCCAAAGCCTTATCTTTCCAGGCTTTGGTATAAAGCTTCCCCCCAAAATCTTAAAAAACCTAGATTTTGGGGATAAAAATCTGTTGCCACCACCTAAGCAATGATAAGAAACTCAGGGAAGAGCCAGAGAGGGCAGTACAGGACCAGGAAGAGAACTGGCAGCATGTAACTTCTAGAAGGGAAAAGGCCAGCACTGGAATCCCCCACTGCTATTGAGGTAAGTAATCGCTTTCAGGCTCTCTCCACAGGCTCTGCAGTGGTGAATGCTTTGGAAGGGACCTCACAAGGAAGAAACCGCAAGGGAACACCATCTACTGGAAGGCATGGGATGCGTAGTCGTAGGAATGGGTGTTCCACAACCACCACCTCCAAAAGAATAAGCGAGCAAGAAAAAAAAATGGCTCCTGATAGCAAATTGGCCCACCACTGAGCGTCCTTCTAATTTGCCAGACACTGGTCCTGACGCTGCCTACTGGAACAAATGTAAGAATCAAGTTGCCTTTCACCATTGTATAACAAGGTCTGTAATTAACTTGGAAACAATGTAACAAGGGTTGTCTAAATTCTCTATCACTAGTAAATCAAGATTGGAAATTTTTCTAAAAGATGCTGTAAATCAAGCTAAGCCCCTGCATGAGGCCATTCCCCAAGTATGGACTCCAAAAAAAATCAACGGGACGGCCATACGTTGCTGTAAACGGCAACAGAGAGACTTCCTGCTTCTCCACGTGGGAACTGACGATATGACCAAGAATGACCTTGAGCGGGTTACTGCAGATTATGTAGCGCTGGGAAGAAGGATCCAAGAATTTGGAGCACAAGTGGTGTTCTCATCCATTCTCCCTATTGAAGGGAAAGGACTGGGCAGGGATCGTCGAATTGAGGAAGTAAATGCGGGTTGCGCTGGTGGTGTTGCAGAGAGGGCTTTGGTATCTTCGACCATGGGACTCTGTTCCGGGCACAAGGATTGTTAGAAAGAGATGGGATCCACCTAACCAAGAGAGGAAGGAGCATCTTCGCGGGCAGGCTTGCAAACCTAGTGAGGAGGGCTTTAAACTAGGTTTGTTGGGGGACGGTGACCAAAACCCTGAGGAGA